GGATCTTGCTGGCACGGACTGTGCCCCCATCTTGGACTCCTATACGCTACACTGTCCCGTTTCGATCGTGTGGAATCTATGACCTTCACGGCTCGAACGCCGTTCGGACTCGGGGAACACGTCCAGACTTTATTTTCTCATAAAGGTATACAGACTCTCGCCATTTGTGGATCGTCTTCCATTCACATGAACCGTTGTGTGTGAATCTACGCAGTGCAAATCGTTCAAGCGTTTGCATTGTCTGCCCGATTAACATGTACATGTAACCCTTACAGCCATTTTGTGTGAATCAACACGAAACAACTGACACCAACTAAAATTGGTCCTCGGGGTTGTCAATGTCTGTTTAGTGAGGCCTCTGCACCTAAGTTCATGTGTTTTTTCTTCAGAAGAACAGACGCTTACAAGGTTTATTCTCAGGAATGAATGATGTTTATGCTTGGTATACATGCCTGTCCGGCAGTACAATATCCACATTGTGATGGCAACCACCGTTACTGCCCCAAGAGCCTATCATTTGCGTGCTGTTCATTGACGGAAATAGTTTTTTAGGCAATTTACATGAGTAACGCAGTGATATACTTATATGAAATTCTCTTCGGAAGATGAAGTGGTTGAAAAACTTTTGTTGCAGTGTGAATAACAGTGACTATTGAAACAGACCTGCGCAAATGTCTTTCACAGCACGCCAATATTGAACGCTTTTCATAATTGCAGTTGTGAATTTATGAGGGAATGCGTATGTCGGTTCTTAGTTTGGAAACGTGGAGGAATAATGAATGCGTGTTACTGACTGTGTACGATTAACATGGGTTTGCCTAAGCGCAAAAGGATCAGTGATGCAAGACTAATTGAATCGGTGAAAGAAGTGTGTGAAGGGTCAGTAATTTGAGACTTAATGGATACTATACATTACTACTTTTAAAGTTTTGGGATAACAAATCACGCTGACGGATATTCTACGTGGGATTCTATGGCGCATTAGTTCCAGGGGCGAAGTATATTGCGACATCAAATTGCCGTTTTATTGCCCGTTTTTATTGTGAAATGCTCTTTGGAATTTCTGGTGAAGTGAAACTATTTTGTTAAACATGTTCTCTTTAAGTACGGAAAAATTATTAGTGAAAAAGGGAAAACAATAGGAAACATACAAAATGTGCTTGCTGCCATCCTGATATGAGGACAGTTTCATGTTTGAATGTAGTGAAACCGGTTTAAATTGCAGTTTTCAATTTGATGAAACTTCAGCCTGGAACTTGATGTGAAAACAAAAATCTGGATATGCAATTCCTCAGTACTGACTGACCAGTGGCTATTTGCCGTGCCGAATACAAAGGTGATGCTTGGCTCGCTTACCCTTGTAATTATTGATGCCACCAGAGCGCTATGTTGCCACTAACGAATTTAATTTACAATTGCAAGCACGCCCTTGCATTATCCCTTTATTTGGTAGAGTATTAAGTTGGTTCAACAGTGGCTTCAGTGACCTTGGTGTGCTGATAAATGACATTACGGGTCCAGATATTTTTACTTGAAATCTGTGATGTGCACTAAATTGCGCTATAGGCCGGTCCCCTGGCGTAACAAGATAACAGCAGGTTCCGTAGCTAGATGGCGATGACGTAATTTTTTTAGATGCCACTTCTATTTGAGATGAAGGGTGCACACGGCCAGTTAACAAATTTGGAGAGAAGTAGAGATCAACATGTCCAAAATAATGAACGTATTGTGATTGCCTGTTAAGGAATTTTCAGGCAATGGAGTACATGTATACGGACGTGAGGAGGATGGCACACGTGGATTTTGGTGATGTTTCGGGTTGTAAGAAAGCCCAACTTTGGGATGTAACAGAACGTGTATATGATTGTATGAGCCCCAAAAGAATGGTCTTTAGAAATGAAAGGTTTTTGTTTTGCAAAACAACATGCGTGACAACGACGAGTTTGAAAAGCTGGTGTTGAGGTTATCATCCAGTTTTAATTTAAATCACATTTCTCTTCTAACATTTCGAATTTTAACCGAAGGAAATAGTTTTTACCTTTACTTTTGTAAAACCGTACTCTATCCCCGCTGTACACGAAATTAAAAACTACAGCTCGAAGTTGTCAGGCAATCGGCAACAAAGTGCAAAGAAACTTGTACAATCATCGGGGGTGAAGTTGGCATATTGTGAGAAAGTACATGTGTTCATTTTTACTTTTTTTTTTGTTGAGATGCATCTTCCAATCAGAGCCATTCAAGTCAATAAGTTATACAGAGATCAAAAGGGTCAATGATAGCCACCGCCAACACTGCACGTGCTGCAAGGACAAAACAAATTACGCGCCACTTGCGGGCTATATGCAATGCTCGGAGTTGCATTTGCAAAGGATTGTGGGCACCGCACATGCGTGTACGTAATACCTCCGCACGTTCAACATGGCCGCAATAAGACGGAAATCAACGTCGTCGGAGACTTAGATTTCGATAATTTTAGTGATTGTGCTGACATGATAGTCTACGTCTTTACATCTGCGAAACGTCTCTCTTAACAATAAACACAATTATTAACACAAATTCTTCAAAAATACGCGACAGGAAAATAATGGTCCAGAGGACAATTTAAAAAAAAAAGTGAGAAGGTGCGTTGTCCTTCCTGTCACTGGCCACAATTGGCCAGGCATGAAACCTCGCCACGTTGTCAAATGCGTTCATGCGGCATGTTTCCACCTTCTTTTAACCGAAGGAACCATTGGGATTGCGACTTGTGATATAAATATTTGTTCTCTACCGTGAAGCGCAAAATGTCATAACTGACTTTAAAAACGTCAGACTTATGCCAAATAACCACCGCCAATTCGTGATTTTTAAGCGCATCTGCGGGGATCACTCGCTAACTCCTGAGGACTACTGAAGAGAATTGCGCATCTTCTTCGCGCATCTTTTCCACTATTTAGTTACTCCAGTGTGGAGCCAACCGGAGCGGTTAATCGGATTACGGTCTGTAGCGATTCCATGGTTTCAGGCATTTGTAATTGATAAAACTTGAATATCTTAATCCTCTGTAACTGTCACGGTTTTTCTGAAGAGATTTTTGGTGCGGCAGTTATTTTTGTCTCGTAATAAAGATCATCCGCATTCAGCTGCTCCTTTCACAATACAGAGTTGAGCGCTTTGAACGTAATAAGCTTCGCACACACCGGAAATCCCAACGAATTTCTTTATCCCTTGATGTCAGGGTTAGGTTTATATGCCCAAGGCCTTCCTGTTTCAATAAATTTGAAATTCTGTTTGATATCAAAAGCCTGGAGTACACCTTTCCGATTTTACCGAATGACTTACCTCAAACCGAAAAAGCGCAAATTTGTGACATCAGATTAAACATTCCCGCTGCTATCGTAAAAGATGAAGACACTGCAACTCAGATCTGGTGACGTCTATTTCACTTTGCTGTTACATTTGCGATGGTTGTTGGCCAGTTTGGAAAAGCCTGTATTCCACATGGTCGTAACGAATACAGACGGCACGCAAGGCGTCAAGACGCAGTCTGGAAGAGACGCTGCGTGACGTGATAACACCAACAATTTAACAACGTCGTGTCCGCACTTCGGGAAAGTTTACCATAAAATGCCTTTTTAGGTGGCAGTACCGCCTTTGAAGTTACACTGATACTCCAGTTTGATGTATTATGTTCATGGTCAGCTATTTTGTTGACAATTAGGGGCTGCATATGTTAGTCATGAGAAAATGGGCAAAATAAGTGGTACTAAACAGGAGAGACATCGTACGCCCGTCATTCCAGCATGTATGTTTGTCAAGGATTTTTCTGGCGACACTACAGAGACAGTCGGCAAACTTGAACCTCATCCAACTTTCCCGACTGACTGCGTCGATATTTCCGATAAATTGTTTCCATATTATTGCATATCGTCGGAGACTGATCCAGGATGCTATCTTCGTCTTTGTCTCTAATGTTATAGGCTTGCAGTAGCAGCTGGCCGGCATTGTAACCAGGTCTTGGGTCCGAAGGGAAGTCTTGTAAAAACGGCGGCCTAATGTTTTCATCCATAAAGGAATCCTCAACGCGAAGAAAGTAGGCTACCTTTTCTTAAATGCTAGCTCTCTCAGTCGCTAAAATTAATGATTTTGTTTCGCTGAGAGAAATGTGCCTATTGCCCCACCCGACCTACTGGATACGCCACTGCGCCAGACATCTTGATCACTGCTAGTGAACCCGCAAAATAATGTTCGGTGTGTTTCCAATGACTGAAGTGATCTCGCGTACAGGTAACTTTAATTATGCACATACACAGTTCCCAACTTTTTACAAAACGAGCGAACATCAACCTCGGAATAACCAAAGGAATAACTATGTCATCTTCGTACTGTGACCCTTGCTTCTGCTGACAGCAGACATCTAATTAAAACAATATTTAGCACAAAGAAAAATTTCAAACATTACATTCCTTTTTGCTAGCACTTTTCCCTTTTGTCCCTTAGACACGCTTTAAGTTGCCGGTCATCTCACCTGTTTTATTATTAGAGAACCTTTCTCCTCTTCGGCCACAAAACAATGGTTTCTTACATCCTCAAAATGATTGTAAGAAACAGTATTAGGGTAAGAAAACCAAAACTACCCAAGCTGCAGGGTCACGCTTGAAAAACAAGTTGCAAGATGTTTAAAAATTTGAAAGAAACCAGGTGTCCTAAAAGTAAGGATTCACATCTTTTGTTTAAATTTTTGGGGAAAGATAAGTAAAGCAAGTGAGTTTCATAGATAAAAATACTGATATCAGCCTTTGATTAGTTGGAGGATTTGACGTCAGACTTTGTGGTATTGGAAGGTCTTCAGACGTACTGAGGAGTAAGGTTCGAGGACATAACGTACTACTAATGGTCGATCAGCTTGGACAGAGTATCAGTGGTTAGAAGATGTATGAGGTCTGGCTGTCTCCCATGGAAAACAACAGTGTTGAATACGTGTTGATACAAAATTGCAATTTCCATTTTGGTGCATACAGGTTTTGCCAGACAGTTAATCCACCATGACGATCATTCTACGAATGCAGCAACTGCCATGGTCGGCAACGTCCATGGATATCCGACGCTATTTCACTGGACTGAGTATCCCTGATGGAGGAGTTCACATTGTTGGTGGCGAAGATGGAGACGTTTTTATAGCATTCTCCAGTGATGAGGACGCCCGTAGAGCAATGCAGACACAGAACAAGCCCCTCTGCGGTAACAAAATAGCCTTGATGTTGAGCAGTAAAAATGAGATGCAAGAGGTAATAGCACGCAACAGAGCGATGTCTCAGTTGAAGTCTGATCCATTCCAACAGGACAGTCCTAATCAGAGCCCAGTTCCCTCCAATCAGTCAATGGAGACTCCTGGGAATGTTTCTCTTAATCTAAACAGAGATTATTCAGGGTTCAAGGATCCTGCGAAGAGTCTACCCTCAAATGATCAGTTTCAACGCAAGGGTCAAAACCAGCCAGTGCTCCCAAATGAAGATGTGAGAGTTCCAGGCCGTCCTCCCCAGAGACCAGGAGGGGACAAGTCCCTTTTGGGAATACCTCCATACGACAGCCATCGTCTTGAACCAGCTCATAATCGACAACCTCTTGGCTTTACTCCAGATCATTTCAGTGGAAGACGTGATGAAATCTATCAAGACAAGACGAGAGAGGGAGAGCCGGAGAACAGGCCATTGCTAGACGTAAGGCATCAGCTTGATATTCGAAGTGGTCATGACCCTCACAATGTTGGGCCTTTTGATGTGGGAAAGGAAAGACAGTTTGGAGACCAATCTATGGGACATTCCTTCAGAAACCGTGACGAATTTCCCAAGGATCCACTTGGTCATGTCACAAGTGATAGGGATTCACGAATTCCGTCCGGTAGAAGACCACCTCTTCTGGAACATGAGCCTGGCAGACCAGATGGGAGACCACCTTTCGAGCCCTACAGTGGTCGTAGAGAAGGATTGCTTGATGACCCTCAAAGAAAACGACTCAATAGAGGACAAGAGCAAGGTCAGGCATCTTCTTTTGAAAAAGGTTCTATGCGTCCAGAAGAGAAGTTTGGAAAGCCCAATGTGCCTGGCCGGTTTGATGAGGGTAAGCATTGGGATAGGCCATATGGAGAATCTAAACCAGGATTTCCTGATGACCTAAAAGATTCTAGATTACCAAGTAACACTGGACCTGGAGCAACAAAACCACTTGCAGACAACCGAGGGAATGAAAGGGGTCCCATACGTAGGAGTCGCTTTGAGCCAGAAAGTCATTGGAACCAGAGAAGAGCTGAAATGGATATAGAAAAGGGCAAATTTCCTGGAGATCCTTTTGGTCTCAATGAACGTATTGATGATCCCAGAAGACCCAGAGCTTCAAGAGATCTCTCAAGTGAACGAGGTGGCCTAGATGTTGGACAGAGAGGGCCTGTGGAGCAGATGGGTCCAGAGGATTACAGGAAGAGGGATGAACCATTTAATGCCAATAACAGGGCTCGTATTCAGCACATGGATGATCCAGTGCATGTAGGTGATCAAAGAGGCCCTGGAGAGCAAAGAGGTCCTAGAGATGAACACAGAGGGAGAGATCACATAGGTTTTGATGAAGTGAGAGGGCCAAGGGAGCACCGGCGTCCTGGAGATCGTATTGGTCCAGACAGACAGGGACGCTCAGGAGAGCAGAGATTTCCTGGTCATCTTGGGCCAGAGGAAAGCAGATTTCTCGGTGAAAAAATCAGTCCTGATGGTCCCTTTGATAGTTCCTTTCATCCAGATAACCGCATGGGTCCTGGTGATGGTGCAGGGTCAGGAGTGCGCAGAGGTCCTGATGGGCGTGGAGGTGCTGGTCCAAGGGATCATGCGAGTCCAGGAGATCACTTCGGTCCTGGAGAGCATATGGGTCCTGTACGTCACATAGGGCCCAGGGATCGTAGGGGACCAGATGATCATAGTGATCCCTTTGGTCCAGGTGATCGCTTTGGCTCAAGTAATCGCTTTGGTCCAGGTGATCGATTGAATTTGGATGACCCCATGGGTGAACACATGGATCCACGAGATAGTACAGGATTAGCTGATCGCAGGGGTCCAGGTGGACGCATAGATGACCAGTTTGATCCAAGTAGTCACTTTGGGATGGGTGATGACTTTGGTCCAGATGACCGTATGGGTCCAGATGGGAAGAAGAGCATCAATAGTCGTTTTGGTCCAGAACGAAGGTTTGGTCCACCTGCTTCCCTGCATCCCGAAGATGATATGGAACCACCAGATATGAGGAATTTTAGAGATCCCCTCGATCACAGAGGACTGGAAGATCATCCCAATGATCGTTTTGGTTCAAGAGGAAGAATGGGACAAGCAGGAGATCAGTGGGAGCAAAGAGATAAAAGGCGACCTAGTCTTTTAGGTGATAAAGGACTTCCGGTAGAGAATCGTTTGGGTCGAAGAAGTTCAACAGATTTTGGTCCAGATGATGGCATGAGACCTGACGGTCGTTTTGGCCCAGGAGCCATGGGTAGAAGGGACCCCTTGATTCCAGAAAGGCCTCACAGAGATCAGCAAGATCCAACCTCTAGAAAAGCTCCTGGCAACTACTTGGAATCAAGAGAGGAACTTAGTTTCCTCCAAGAAAGTCGGTTTGGCCCAGGTGGTCAAAGAATTCATGTGCCAGAGGAACTGCTCGAAAGAGACAGCGATATGAGAAGACGTTCAACTGCAGCTCATCTTGAGGTTACAAGAGGCAGCCCACTGCTCGATAGCATCCCTCTCAAACATTCAGATTCAAGGAAAAAATCTGGTGCTGCAGGTTTTGTACGCATCACAGGCATGCCATTTAATGTAACTGCAACAGACATATTTGATTTTGTTGGTGGCTTAACTATAGCTGACAATGGTATTCGCTTGACTTTAGATAGTGCTCGAAACAAACCAAATGGCAATGGCTACATAAAGTTTGCGAGTGAGGAAGAGGCAACTAAAGCATGCAAGCTCAATATGAAATACATGGGAAAGAGATATATTGAAGTTAAGTTGTGCCGGAAGATAGACTGGGACAGTTCCGAAACTCACACAGTACCACCTCCTGGGTATCCTTCAGATGTTGGGAAACGCAGTCGTAGATCTCGATCCCGTTCACCAATTCGCTCCACCTGTGTTGAGTTGCGAGGTCTACCAAATAATGTTGACAGTTACCACATCAAGGACTTTTTCCATGGTTGTGATATTACAAATGACAAAATATTCATTGCACAAGGAGGTGATAATTCTCCAACTGGAATTGGTTATGTTGAGTTCCCAGATCAGTCAACATTAGAGAGGGCTCTGCGGAAGAATGAACATTCAATTGGAAGGCACATGATTGAAGTTAAGACAATACTCAAGGAAGTTATGAATGTTCGAATCATTGAAAATAAAAAGCGAACCCAAGACAGACAAGCAAGCAGTAAATCATCGAGCGCCAAAGACTTAGGTAACTCCAGAGATAGTAATTCGAGAAATGCAGGGTCTCGAGGATCATCCTCAAGAGACTCCAAATCCTCTGGATCAAGAGACCGCAGTGCAAGAGAATCCAGCTCCAGAAGTTCAAAAGACAGAGACTCCAGACAGCCATCAAGACATGGTAGAGACAGTCAGAGAACCAGTGACCGAGAATCAAGACCAAGAGAGAGTGATTCTCGACAATCTGTGTCCAAGAGTAGAGACCCAAGTAAGGATGGGAGCTCACGATCATCAGATTCACAAAGTCGGTTTGCAGGAGAATCAATTCCACAGAAGCGAGACAGTGAGTCGGATAACAGGAGATCAGGACCTGGATCTAAAGCATCCCCAAAAGATACTGAAACCAAACCCCAAGAAAGTGCCTCCAAAGATGTTAGTAGCAGGTCTCAGCAAGATTTACAGGCCCAGCCAAATAGAAAAGAGCAACTTTCACAAAGTGCGTCATCTAGAGGTCTTGTAAAAGAAAAGCTTGATTCTGTTTTCAAACAACAGGTTCAGAATCCAAAGGCTTTGGAGGAGACAAGGCCATCTAGTCTTGATGAAAAATCATGCATCAACCTGCGCAACATGCCATATAACACATCAGATGAAGAAATCCACAACTTCTTTCAAGAAATGGAACTTCAACCCTTAATGGTACACTTCCTGATCACACCAGATGGTAGGCCAAATGGACAGGCCTATGTTGAGATGGCAAATGCCGCTGATGCCCATAAAGCAGTCAGTCATACCAATGCTCGTATCCAGGATCGCAACATCATCATGAATGTCATCACAAAAGGACACATGAAGAATTGCCTTGCCCAGGGCAAACCACCTCCACAAGGACCTGGGCTTCTTGGCATACCTCGAGGCCCGCCGTTTCCCCGTGCTCCTGGTAGTCATCCAACCATGGATTTCAGGCCACCTCTCCTTGGTAGCAAAGCACCACCATTTGCAATGAGAAGCACATCAGGTCCAATGAGAGGCCCAAGACCTCCTCCTGTCGAGGTTCTCATAGCACGGGGTTGTGTTGTGGAAGCCAGTAATCTCCCATTTGACATTCCTATACCAGCTATAATTGATTTCTTCGGTGATCACAATGTTGTACCAGAGTCTGTGCGGCTGAAAACCAATGAGCATGGGCGGTTTTGTGGAGAAGCCATGGTAGCCTTCCGAAGTGCCGATGATGCTGGCAGAGCAATAGCAGATCTGAACAAAAGTATTCTGGGAGGCAGAGTTGTTCGCCTGCATTTGATGTAAGTACTGCATGTAGGAAAAAACCAACCCTTACAACCATGATTTATAACCAAACATGGACTCATGCATGGGAGGATGCTTACAGGAATAGAAGTCCATTTTGTTGTTGCCATTCAGAACATTTTGATAACAGTATTCATAATGTTCTCAGCTGAAAAACATTTAGCCTATCACTTCTGATCTTTCTTTTTTTTTTTAACTACCTCCTGCTTGGTGGAATGATACAAGAACCTGCAGCTTTTTATCAGGAGGAAAATGGGAGATGCTCAAACGGTTTTTGTATTTTATAAGTATCCCTGCTGAAAGATTTGTGTCAGGATATGATCAATAACAATCATTCAGCATCAAGCCAGTCAATGATGGTGAAATCATATGTGCATACAAAATACAATCATGGATGCACAAAGTGGTGGTGAAGCAAAACACACAAGTGGGTTATATTTTAGTGATTATTTATTCTAATTATTGACTCAAAAAGTCAAAGAGAAATGTAGCTTCCCTCCAACCCCCCCCCCAAATTGAGGGGGGATGCACCCTCCTCTAGATCAGCTACTGCATGGCCTTGCTTGTACTCGAGTGAAAACCAAATGTTAATGAATAGGTTGTGGGGTGTATTTTTCTATTCTGCTAGTAGAACAAACAAAAGATTAAGATTCTATTTATAGACAAAGCCATTCCATGCCAGTTGCGCAAAAAGGAAAACTAAGGGTGTTTTTTCCACACAGCCCGCCATAAATTTTAAACTGAAACAAAACCCAGAGGAGAAAAAAATCAAACCATCCAAAACTTTTCTTTTGGAGTACACTGCTTTATTGTTCAAGTCAAAATCCCACACCCTCATTTCTGACTCATCCCAGAAACTGAAACGTACTTAATATACATAATCTAACAGGCAGCCTTTGTGAGATGTCACCATGGTTCCATGTATAGAGATGTTACCGGACAAAGCCATTAGAGACCACGCAGATGCAATGGACATACAGGTCACACCAACTGAGCCATCTGTGGACTGCAGGAGTAGCAGGCAGTCATCAGCTGCAATTTTTTTTTTCAGTCAGTCCAGTAGATTGAGGGATTGATCCAAGGATGGGGAAAAGGGTATTGTCATTTGAGGACAGTCTAATTTATGCCATTGGACATTCTAATGTGCCGTGACAAAGTAAGTTGCATATTCTACTTCCAACAACTGCAAATGCTAAAAGCTCCAGTCAATTTTCTTTTTATTATTATGCTATCCCCATAGCAATTGTAGACAATGAAGGCATCTTTGTTGGATAAGTGGACTCGTAAGATGTTCTTATTATATGTTTGTTGTGGGAGAAGGTTCTGAAGGATGTAAAAAATGCATCAGACATTTTCTCATTTTTTATATTTTGAAACCTTGCCAGGATATCAAAAATAAAGATTCAAAGGTTGTAAACGAGGGAAGGCCAAAGGCCACTTAAGAGACTTGTCTGGGTCAAATGAGTCAGTACAGGTAGTAAATTTTGGTTTTTTTTCATTTGGCAACATTTTCCAAGACTTTTTTTCAATTCCAGTAGTTCCTTGTGGTCTAGAAATGTGTCCCAGTCCAGTTTGCAGTATATGTCACCATAATGATGGTGAACTACATGTAGATTGCAACTTTAGGGTATAAAAATGAAATTTGTGGAATTGGCGAGTGGTTTAGTTAGGAAATACCACTTTGTGCAGCTTGTTTCTCCCTTGTTCCCCATTTCCTTGAAAATGAAGCCTGATGGGGTGCTACACAAACTGGTCATTTTGCTGAACCAAGAGAGGAAAACTTGTATAATTTCAACTTATCATGATCATATTGATCACTTAAAGCTGTACATACATTTAACTAAATCGGCAGTTTTAATAACCTTATTGCGTATTGCGTAGGAAAATTTGAACATTTGTGACTCTCCATCCACAGCCATTTTTCCTAATGGGATTTTTTGTTGTGAATGAGAAGATACAGGCCAGCTTTTAAAGGAAGACGGTCTGCAAATGTGCAGCCTGTATTTATTGCTTCCTTGTACCATTTAGCTTTAGGTGTTTGTATTGGATGTAAACAGAGAAACTGAATTTTTTGTTCCTGTATGCTAAGGACTTATTTACACTTGTAGAGTAGTTATATCAGACTAAAGTAACGTTTGATGCTGTTAAAATTTTCATAATTACATTTACATGTAGGTACCATGCAAAGAATCTTAGACAAAAGGCATACGGGACAGCATTTCATCTATACATACACGTGTGGTACAAAAAATCATTAAGTTCTATGTGCCACTTGTAAATTTCATGTTGTGCAGGAGTTAAGTGAGGTTTGTATGGAAGGGCGGGGAGTGACGAATAGTTCACTGCTGTATGTGGCGATAATGCCACCTGTCTTGTTTTTTTTTTTGTCAATGGAGACAGATTATATCTCCATAGTGTTCTGCAGTTCAGTGCATGTTCACATGGCAGATATTGAGACTGTAATTACATAGTTGCCAGTTGTGCTTGTACACTCTTTAGAGCTTTGCTCTTAATTCTCGTCCAGGGGAAAAATGTCAGTACCCTTGTGCAAGGAAGTACACATAATATTACTTGTTTCCTATTATTATGGCACTTTTAAAGGAAGCATATTTGGTTCACGTTCATGAGAAAAAAGGTTACAAGTTTTCAAGTTGGTACCCGTTTTTGGGATGAAGTTGTTCCCAGTATTTTTTGTAGTTTTTCATCTTGGGAAAAAAAAGGACATTACAGAAAAAGATGAACACACAGTAGATACTTAGAAGTCAAAGTTAGTTTTAGATTAACTGATCCTGTAAAAGGATATCACTTTAGTGTGTTATACAATTCTTATTGGGACGTTTATTTTAAAGAAATATCCACCAGTTGAAAGGATTTTTGACATGTTTTTATAAAAGAAATTCATTTTTTTCCTTTTTTAAAATTGTTAATGCTCTTTATGAGTGCTTTATATTCATCTGTACTCTCCATATCAACTGTACGAGTACGTGTTTTTACCTTTTCCGGCAAGAAACCGATCACTGCATTACCATCAATTGCACTCCTGGAAAAAAGGTTTAAAGGAATCTCATCTCCAATATACTTTTCCACAAGCCGGTTAGAGGTACATGTGTGTTTAATTTGATTGATGGTAATAAAAGTTGTTATAGTTGTTGCTTTCTTAGAGTTTCAATACACTGTCATTTTCTAGTCCCCTTTGATTCTTAACTTGTCTGCCTGCCTGTTTCTCGGTTGGTTATTGGGGTAAGATATCTGTCTATTGGGGTGTCGGGTTGTGGTTGTTCTTTTCTCAAAACACAAAATTTGTTTAAAATTGATTTAAAATGCATCTAAAAAAGGATACTAGGTCACAATGAGAATAACACTGAACAAATGTACAATATTACTCACTCTGAAGTTTCCATTTATTCTACAAACTGACCAGCAACAGGTCCTAGGGATATATTAAGCACTCAGTTTTACACTTTTATGTTAAAAAGGCACTTTTTACAAAGGACGGCTTGTAACTCTCTTTTAAGCTCATGGCTGCAAAGGAAAGAGCAAACATTTGGTCACACTAGCAGGCAAATTACGAATGGCCGTTAGTTCAACATTAAGTCTCTTGTGTGGCCTAAAACTCTTGTTAAATTCAAACATCAGTTTGTCTATTTCTTTGTTACATAATTGCCACATTCACACATTCTTATGTGGGCACATCTTCTGGACAATTTCTTTGGCAGCTGTAGTAACTAATAAAGGGTAATTTTATATGGTAATTTTATATAACATAAAATGTGTCTGAAAAATACTCTGTGGGTCTAAATTACCATTTTGCAGTTTAGGGTCAAGATTTCCACAGGCCATTCTGAAAGTTTGATAAATATTTAAAATACATGTATGAATCTGAAAAGTAAAAACCATATTAAAAATTCTTTTGTGTCCATTAAATATTTAAAACAATTTGAAAAATAGATCTAGGCACTGCTTTACTACGGCAATCTGCAGTCAGCCTAGCCTGTCAATTTTAGAGTGAATTTCAAAATTGAACTTGAGGCAGCAATGCACGCTACGTCACACAATGGTTGACGAGCAGAATGTATAGTACTTTTTTTACATCACCACCTTACCCCCCCCGAGAAAGCTCTGTTGAATTCCCTAATAATTTTCATACAAACTTGAATAACTGCATTGCATATGGTCAAACTGGGTGATACAACCGCGCCAGAAAGAATAACACATATACACGGTGCCTGGTTCTCGTCCCCCCCCCATCAAAATACTTCCTGAGCTGGGAACTTTCTCAAGCTTTTATGCCAACCATTCTGACCCCATATCTATTCTCCCACCCCATCAACACATTTTGCCCACACACCTAACAAAGTCAGCTTGGCTCCTATTTTCGTTCCCCTCAGATAAAAATGTATCAGAGTAGTACGTCAACACACCTCTTCCAATTCTGAATACAAGCTTCCCCCTTCCCCCAAAAGTTACGCTCGCTGAACATTAACCAAGACAGACATGAATCTATGCGAAGCTTGGTTCCAGTGTTGTAGTCGGGTTCCTTCACAAGTCCTTTCACGAGACCAGTGATAAGTAGCTAGGTGAACAATGGTGGAGGAATGCTTTTGTCATAGTTCATTTGAATTAGCATGTGCCATTGCTACATGTAGACTGAATGACTTGTCCTGGCCTTACAGTGGGGGACTCGACTCTAACATTCAACATACAGGTACATGTAGGCTGTGGTTTCCTCTGCTACTGACACCTGAACCTAAACAATAAGTGCATGAACATGGTAAAATGTTCACAGGCAATGCAAAAATTTCAGAATTTCAAAATAGATGCGATTACTGACTCTCATCATCTTCGTCGTAATCATCATCATCATCTTCATCGTCGTCTTCATCATCTTCGTCGTCCTCCATGTCGACGATGCGGCTGGTATCCAGCCTTCCCTTGCCTTGTTTCTGCCTGGAGGATGGCATGGAGGCGGCAGTGGTGGGCTTGGTACTGCTGCGGTCTGTCGAGTTCAACGACGTCCTGGAATTGGCCAAGTTGGAGCTGCTACTGCCCGTGGTGGCACTGAATGGGCGAAGGCTGTTCCGGAATTCCTGAGATGAGCAAAGATGACATTGCTTAACAACAGGATGAGTGATGCATGCAGACCAGGGAAGCCAGTGCTTAGGTTAAAGCCTTTCAGGTTTTTTTTTTATTTGAAATATTAGGCTAACTTCAGGTATGTACAAGGTGTATTTTGGCCTCCTTTGACTTATTTTCAAGCTCTTGACAAGAACCTGACTGGCATTCAAGGCAGAGGCTTTTGTGTATGGAGGATGGCCTCCATGCAACCAGTATTCATTCTATCAAACAATGAGAACATTAGATCATTGTGCTTATTATTCAATTACACGTAACCACATGACTATGTCCCACCAATTGGATGTAAGGAATTTATGTAGGTGTTACATGTATGTCACTAACAAACACTGCAGGTTGTGTTACTGTGTTAGTTGCGGTTCATACCTCCAGGTCATCCTCGTCACTGATGGCATGCAGATGCTGCCAGGCTTCAGTGTAGATCTCTAACGCTTTCGAATGGAACAGCATCTCAATCTTCACAAACTCAGACAAGATACTCTGCAAAATGGGAAGTTCAAGAATGGTTGGCATAATCTGTTTTGACACAGACTACGGAAATAGTTAAGATGAACCTATGTCCCTTGAAACAGTCTCTCCACTGACTTTTGAATAAAACTCAAAGAGCAGTAAACCTGCATGATCTACCCTATTTGTGCAATTTTCATTTTAAAAGTTTTTAGTCCGTGAGCTAACTCACACGGCATTTAACCCTAAAAGAGAAGGGGTTGCCCCCTCCCAACCTTTAATACTATCTCTCAGTCCTTCATTTGAAGAAAATCCAGGAGAGCTTTTAATCGCTCTCCTAAAATCTCTCAGGAGAACAAATCACTCTCCTTGAAATAAACCAATTAAAAGAAGTGCAAAATGAGGTCTAATGGTAGTTTGTACCCTGGAGTCTATTGTTTCCACTTTTTCTGATGGTTTATAATGATCTTGGGGCAGTTTTGAAATAATTTAGTTTTATTTCAGTTAGAAACATGAATTGACTGCACATAAATCACCTCAGTGTTTTCTTTTTATTTGAACCAGAATTTTTATACTTGCAAATTGAAAATACACTATTTAACTAAGTTTCAACCGACAAATCAAAGTTGTATGTGTCCCTTTAATTTAAATAATAATTTTTGTGTCAAACCTTACAGATTTTTCCTTTTATATCTCACGATCATTTTGACACCAGTTTAACCCCTTTGCTAAGGAGGACTGCTACTACCGCACCACTGTGTGAGGATCAGTGCATACCATGCATACAGTCTATTCACCATGCAGCTGCTGGTTCAATGGGGCCTGCTGCTGGACAAAGCCCTCCTTTCAGGGCATACCATAGCCCAGCAAAATAATCCCGCTGTGAAGGGGTTAATGAAAACCTGACAAACTAATCTCACACAGTGCCCAATTTTCTGAGACAGGTCAGCTAAACAAGCTAAATTTTCTGTTAGAGGTGGTCAGTGCACACAGGCCACCATGTGCAAGGCCATGAACTAATGACAAGACCCTCTCTATGTTGGACTGATTTGAAACTTCACAGATGTACTCATAATGACCATCTTTACACACATGCCAAGTTTCAGAAAGAGTAGGCAAGGGACAGATGAGATCTTGGGGGAGGGGGGTTTTCCTGACCTCCCTCCACCCCCCCTCCCTCAACTGTAAATAGTTCAAAACAGCCCGGCTCTTTTAGGTTGAAGGTATGTTCAAAGGGGATTGTTTGACAATTCATTGAAAGTCTACCTTAAGGTCGTGCAATCGCTTTCTCTCAAATGAGTCCATTTGATCCTCGAGGTTCTTTGAAGAACGAGTTGCATCCACATTGGCCCTCTGCAGTTTGGATTCAGCTTGAGCCTGTCAGGCAGTAATTACTGTTAAAGAAAAGTGAGTCCGTTCATCATATACATGTACAAAACTTTCAAAGCAGCATGCCTGGGAATTGTTTGTGACTCTTCAGCATGCAAACTTCATGGCCTACTGATTATGGTAGAGAAAGACCCACTTTTCCACTTCTCCAACTGATACATGTTTAAGTGCGCTCATTTAACTTCCAATTCCCTGATGCTCATGTGGATTCTGGGAGGTTAATGTAAAATAACAAAAGAACCATCGAGGGGTGAACAAAAACACATGGGGCATGGGGGATCTGTTCAGAACTGAGGACAAAGATTTTTATTGGAGTCTTTTGAGGTACCAGTCATTCGCCACTGTCCCTCCCATAAAACTCACCCCACAAGCCAACCCTTACTAACACCGGCCACCCATTTCAATCCTGATTCAAACTGTGAATGATCCAGTTTTACGCAAGGATACAATTTGCTGCCGGTTGTTGGGATTTTTCCGTCTGATATTTTCCAGCTTTTTCTGTTCGTTGATTTCCTTTGTCCTGGCGGCAAATGTTGCCTTCATGTCTTCCTACAAAAAGCACCAAAACACTTTTTTAACTGTTTGTCAACAGTAAAACTGTCAAAAGCCATTCCTTCACTGTAGCTTTGTCGTGTCAGAGGTCATAAACCTGACGGCATGCCATGTGGCCAGAGATCATGTAGAGGTAGCAACATCAAAAAGGTTGGAAACACTCACAGAAGAACCTTTCTGTTTCATTTCTTCGTGTTCCTTTCAACAGTGTGAAAAGTATTTCAATTTTATTCCATTTTTTTTTTCTAATTGAAATAAAACAGTACAAAAGGTCTTGACAATATAATAGATTGACAATTAAAACAAATTTTTTAAAGGTGCTATTCTTTCCACATTGCGAAGAACAATCAAAATAATAATGAGACACAAGTGGCATTCTTGAATTCATTATGCAATTTCCAGATGAATTTCTTACCCTTGTATGTTTGAAGTTCTGGCCATAAAGCGTAAGTGGATGAACAACCCGTTGAGAAAGCCTGTCAACCTTCAAAAAAGTAAGCATTTTATTCTGATAGTACAAGAAGGGTAGGTTCTAGTCCAAAGAGAGGAGCATTTCAAGTGGAAATAAATTGAAAGATTATTAAAAACCATCAAGATTTAATTCAAAGCAAGATGCACCGTACTGTTGCCTATTTGTCTCTTTCATTACATGTACTTTCAACTTTGATTACTTTTCTAGAAAGGTATAATTTCTGATGAAATCATGAAAAACTATCCCATGGCTTACGCTGAAGGTACACTGAGCAACACAGTAGGTTTCAAGCCAACTGTTTTCTATCAATACACACAATAACAGACAACAATGCAACATTTCTCTCCTGGCTGTTTTGTGAGAACGACTACAACAGAGCAAGGGTACAACATGCATGTTTCAATTTTGAACTTTCAGCTTGTTGCTTGAGTCTCAGTTTCCGAGGAATCATTACCATCGCCTGTCTGTAGTCAGAAACTGAGGACAGTTTCTCGGCGAAGCCCGTCAAGCCTGACTTGGTTGAAGATGCCTCACTCTCTGCGTAGGTGAGCATGCTCTTGGCCAGCATGTCTCCCTTGTCACGCACCCGGGCCACCTTTCGTGAGTAAGCTGAAAACTGCTGGCACAAGTCAGCAAAGTGCTTTTCAACATTGTTGATGCGCTGCTGAATAAATTTGGCTTGGTTTTCCCTGCAATGCAAAGTCAGTTAATTTCTTTTAACTTTTCACAATTACATGCATCTTTTGACCATCAGTGGAATAATAAATTACAGTGCAATCACTATGCTACATATATTTGAAGAGACAAAGAAGCTGTAATTACTGTTCAAATTACACATTATAATTACGGACACCCAGTTATTTTTCTATGTCCAAAAACTTAACATACATTTTTCTATTTGTGATTTTTTATTTAAATTATTATTGAGAATAAGTGTACAATCAAAAAATTAGCTGTAATTCTTCCCTAGTAAAAAATACTAGAAAAAATTACAGGAAATAAAGCACTTCAATATTGACATTACAATTTGCCTTTCACACAACTTTATTTTTAATAAAACACTGTATTTTATCAAGGATTTACTTTACAAACTGCAAGAACATTTCAACTCGGGCCATAATTCCACTTTTATTTCCAAAGTTTTTGCCTAGTGTCAGTAATTAACGTTACATTGTAAAGTAGATGAATTAATAAACTTGGGACGATCATCTCATTTTCATCTTCAAAACAAGAAACTTCGCCAAAAACAACAGGTGCGGGGGGAGGGGCTGGTGAAATTCCAGTCCATCTTCCCCCAGTCTCAGCCCCCTCCCAAGTTTTATCGACCACCCAAACAACAAACAATAGGTGTGCGCCACTAACTTAAAACGGTACCAAAGGGGTTGGAGTTCCACGTTACCCTTTAGAAACGGCACTTCTAACTTAATGATAGGCCCTACCGCCGCTACTGGAAGTTTCCTAATTCATTGACATGTTTCTGAATTAGGAAACATTTCCTAATAAGCCAGATCAGAGTTTCGGGCATGCAAGGAACTGTGGGATAGAAATTGGATAAACAAACCCATGTGGCCTATACAGTACGGTATAGCATAGACCTGGCGTTTGAATGAAATATTTAGGGGATTCTTTATTCAACTTTCATATCCCAAAACTGCCCAGGCACGCCGTACATGTAGATCTTTTTTACTTTTCCAGAAATCCAAACAAATCCAATGTATTGAGGCAGTTCAGCAACGCTTCACAAAGTCTTGCCTTCCTTACAGTATTGCTACATCCCTCTCTTACGAAGAACACTTGTCTAAACTTAACCTCCCCCCTCTATGACAGAGTTGTCTTTTTAGGTGTTTCCTTCATCATTAAATGCCTCTTCAGACATATCCACATCCCATCGCATTTTCTTCCACAGCCTAACACAAGGAAGACAGACACCCTGCTCTTCAAGCATCACTCCTGCCAAACTAATTGTGTGAAATTTTCCTTGTTTGCCCTCTTTCCCAGATTGTTTAATTCGCTTCTCCATGAACTTCGAGACTTCTGTTTAGAACCCTCCCCCAAAGACTTCTTTCACTCTTTACGTGAACACCTCTTTAACCCTAACCTTCCCCAACCACCATGACCACACACAATTAAACAGTAGTAAAGTGTTTAATTCTGTGGGGATACATGTAGGTCTGGTAGGCCCATAACAGCTTGGCTTTGCATTGGGTTTGGCATACCTCAGAAAAACAAAGTCCAACAGCCTCTGTGCACAAAGTCCCATGGGACTTTAACTTTGTGTGAATGGGGAAGTTAGGGCCAGCAACCCTTGGGGGGTTAGGGTTAACCCTCCCGGGCCCTATCATCCATGCCTTGTAAAATATCCAACTTCATCAACCAACTTTCTTTTTTTAAAGGCTCTATTTTGCCTAATTTTAATTATTTCCTGTTTTCCATTTAACCAGTTGGAGATCCCCTTGACAGAAACTATGTTTCTTTTGAGCAATCCAGTGGGAGCAGGTTACATAATGTGTCCTTCAGGTTTTGTTTCTATTAAACTGTTTATATGTATCTTCTGAAAAATGAAATAAATGAAATGAAATAAACCAAAACAGTAAGTCCAAAAAACAACATGTACATTGTAATGGAGCGGAATGGTTTGTTTATCCAAAACAGGGTCATCAAGGCCAATTGGTGCATGCGCGACCGAAATACTGAATTGGCTTATTCGCACATGACATTCATGAATTCCATGCCACGGCATTGTTGAGAGTGTCACTGACGACCATTGCAATGAGGCCAGAGCAAGCTGAGGCCAGCCTACACGGCATATATTGGTCATGTTGGTAGCCGCAATACGCGTAGCCGCCACGTGTAGGTTACATGTATTCTCAAAGTCGGGATGTCACTGATTCTCGATTCCTCTCTCTGATTGGTCAATTAATGGCCATTCCATCTTTCATACTCAAAACTCAAAGGGGCAAAAATACATGTACTGTAGCGGTCCATCATGATCATGTCTATGGGGAAATCTGAATTATTAATTGACTCAAACTCTTAACCCTTACATCAAATGTGCCTGAAATTGCACCTAGGCGCTACAAACATTTCCCACACAGTACTGAAAAGGTTTTATTATTTCTATCGCGTTGTTGCCAAACAAGAGGAACACATGCAAATCCCTGTACAAAGTGAATGGAGAGTTAAGTTACCCCTTTGCCCAACAACCTCCGACCTCGAGAAATCGGAATTCACGATTGTGCGAATTAGGAAACGTTTCCTACATTTTTCCTCCCGCAATCATCCTGGAAATCATACCTTGCTCGGACATCGTTACTCCTCATTAGGCTCATGGTGTACTTTTGCAGTGTCAAACTCCACTCACCAGTGCAGCACTAGCAACGCAGCACGAAACACCTCAAAATCTCATTCTCACTTCACTTTTTTTCCAACCGAACGCATTGTGCTAAACAAAAATATTCCTATGAATATCTGAATACAGCGCCCTCTGTTGGTATTTTACAAACAAAGCGCAACGCGCGCCGGCCAGCTAGCGGGGAGCGCTGGAAAATAGACGCCGCGCGCACGGCCATTGTCCGAGCAGACACGGACCCTACGGCCTGTTGGCCTCCCAAATACTGTCAAAGAATAAGCTACATGAATAATGTACCTCAGATTTCGTGAGACACAAATTAGATGACCATGATACCAGCACGGAGCAACTGGGTGTTCTCAGCACGAATTATGATCTTATATGCAAAAGGCGTGATCCCCAAAAGTCCACCCACTGGTGATCCACCACCGCAGATGTGTCTGTGTGGTCATAATATCTTCACACAAGTCAGCGGTCACGCACATTTTTAATTAACGGACTGGTGCTGCTCGGCCTGCATTTCAAGGTTAATACGCCCGCAGTTTCGCCTGTAAGACCATATGGTCTAGTCCAGTGTACATAGGGTGACATGTAGGCCCACGTATGCACCTGTACACAGGACCTATTCTGTCAAAATCACTTTCAAAAATAACCAGAAGGGTATATCGGTGGGTGTTACCACATGCATGGGCGATATGGTGAATTCATAACAAAATGAATTTGATGTTTCGTTTACATTCGCAATTGCATTATTATTAAAAATTATACCCGAACCCGCATACGTATATCCGACCGGCCACACGGGAGGCAAAAGGTGATTGACTTTGTCCTACGTCGATGTAGGCCAATATTGATTGTTCCAATCATTAATTTGTATTGGTTAGTTCATGTGGGCACCAAATTTTGGCCCAACTTTGTACCACAACTTTCTACCAGTTTATCTGGCTGCCAACTTAGGTACATTTCGAAGTCATTAGCTTTGGCAATTTGGTCATGAGGTGCCTCCTGCATTCGCATGTACTACGTACACACAAACACGTACGCCAGCGGGCCGAGCCAATTTGATGGCCTCGACATCACTTCGCTGGTAACCGGTATTGATATGCCAGCGCCTTGTGCAGCTCGACTCAGCAATTAGTGACGTCACAAATGCTTCGCTGGTACAGATGTATTACTGGCAGGACGGGTATGGACTGTGTGTACACGGGAATTGCCCTGCCTTTGTTGGAGACGACAGTGCCAAGTATCACCAACATTTCACTGTCCTTTTGTAAACATACAAAGGCATCTTTGGTGAGTGCACACAGTGATACTAGCAACTGCATTTGGAATTTTATTGCGTTTATGTCCACTCCTGTTTTGGTGCTTACGTGAGCTGTTCTAATGTTGACATTTAATTGATAAACCTAGTCAGTCTCATGAGGGCGCTGTAACGATTTTCTTTTTAAGTATGGTGCTGTTGTCTACCGTTAAATAGCTAACGCTTTGAACAAGTTTTGATCTGGATACAAGACTGTCGAGTTAGTTGAAACTTTTTTACAAATACAATGAAATATGCCTAAAATACAATAAGTTCTTAAAATTACTGTACATGTTATTGTGCAAGGGACACCTCATCATGTTGATGAACATAAAGAAATATGAATTATGAACACTGTCATGATTTTCAATAAATTGAGTAAGTGCTTGTGCCCAACTCCATCATTCTCGCGGTCGGGATGACGTCATTGAATCTTGATTCTTTTCTCTGATTGGTCAATTGGTGGCTATTCCATATTTCACACTCGAAACTCAAAGGGGCAAAAATAGTGTTGCCATCTATGGGGAAAATTTGAATTATTGACTAAACTCTTAACCTTTACATCAAATGTGCCTGAAATTTCACTGTTTATGCACCATGAATATCTCCAACTCTGTATTGAAAAGGTTTATATTTATCATGTTGCAGCAAAAATGAGGAAAACATGCAAATCCCTGTACAAAGTGAATGGAGAGTTACCCCTTTGCCCAGACGTGAGTGCAATAAATGGAACAACCTCCGAACGCGAAAATTAGAACATGAACAATTTTGAAAATACATGAGGCTTTATTTCATTATTCATTTGTTGATGTACATACCCCATATCAATAGCGAGTAAGTGTCCATGCAAAGGGAACCAACCTTGAAAGCAGACAAGTTCTCAGTCTGTCTATTACATGTACACCACGCCATTTGTATGCGGGTGCAATACAAACTCCTGATTCAATTTGCAGCCATTTTTAATAATTTCCGACAGGGAAAAAAACCCAATTTTTCTGAAAAAATGGAAAATAATGAAATGTTTTTTGGGGGGGCTTTTTCAGCGGTATGCAGGCGGTGGACCCAAATCCGTGATATTCATTCTCATGGCCTCATCAATTTCTTCAACACAAACATGAGCCGTTTTGTACTTTAGTGTAATATTAAAGGCTACTGTTTATACTGCACAAATGCCACCAATTATGAAAAAGCTAGCATCTTGATTCAGTCCTTCAAACTTCACTTTGAAAACAAAATCAATATTGTGTAAACTTAAAAACACAGACAGTATAGCTTTAAATCAACTTACAAGTTACAAGTAGATAAAATCTTAATTGTAAATCATTTAATTCATGTGATGAATCCAAATAGTACATTCTAACCTAAACAAGTGGCTCATATTGAACAAAAATCGCTATTGATCAAGATAGCTTGTTATACAGCATACAGGTATGTGTGTATGTTTCCATTTTTCTTTGATTTACTATACTGTAAGTACTGAAAGACTCTTGGAAGTGTATTTGCTGTATGTGCAAAAATTCAAGTTATCAATGAGTTGAAAATATGGGGAAACAATTACAACATTTTTGCCATAAAAAAATCAAAACGTTTATTTAAATGCAGCGATTTAGAAAAAGGCATTTGATTTAAATCATGGTTTAAATCAGCAATTTTAATCAATGTGATTTAAATCGGCCAACCCTGGATAGTTATGTTACACATTGTGTACCCTTAGTAACTTTGGTTGCATTGGAGTACATGTACACGTACATGTATGTGTGTTACACACTACATGTATGGAAATATGACCGGCAGGTACATGTACACCCAAGTAGTGAGCATTCTCTTGATCGGGCTGGGAATATACAATCATACGTTCACATAGCTTCCTTATTTCATGAAAGCAGAAAGCTAAATGTCTGTTTGCACGATAATGCATACTCAACAGTTTCCTGCACCCCTAGGTATTAAAGAGCAACACATACAAATGCTGGTAACCTCAGTCTTGTTCCACTGATCCAGAGGCCCCAAGCTTCATGTGTTAACTGCTATGAGAAGAAATCAGTCAGTCCACTCACTTACAGTACCATCAGAACTTGATCAATTGACACACCCTCCCCCTAATGTGTGTGTACTTTGAGTACCATATCTTGGTGTGAACCTTCTCATGACAGTCCCAGTGGAAAGGTACATGTACATGTACGACACAAGGAAATTCGACTGAAATACCCCAAATACATTGCACTCTTTTCCAGCCTCATATTTCCTCTTCGAACTTTTGTGTAGAACTGATGCCTTTTAAATAATGCTTCTGTTTCTCAGATTTGCTCCTGTTCCTGCTGTGGTTCCCTTCACAAAACCTACCAATTCCTGGAGTCTGATCAGGACTCACTGGACAATTCACCTGGTGGCTGTAGCAATTGATGGACTTTTCATTCTAAACATGTAGGTCAAGGTAAGTCAGTTGGAATTTAGAGTCACCTGAGTAGTTGAAATAAGGCCTGGCCAAGATGTAACAAGCAAGATTATCTTAAAATGATGTCTGCTTGAGAGATTCAACATCATTATTTTTTGTTCCCTCAAAGAGCACTGATTTTTGCAAATATGATTGTTAACATTTTACTTGGTGAAATGTATCTTTTCAAAGACAATTTTTAATCAAGCATACCTGCAGCCTGGTATATAGAACTGAAAAGTTGTAAGACCTGACATCGGGTTTGTATTATTGATCCTTTTCAAAGGTAGAGTCCTAGTGTGGAAAGAGAAAATCCTGGAATGAAGTTTATCCTGTATAGAATTTGCCCCTGTCTGTCGTTTTGACTTCAGCTTATTGCACCCACCATATGCCACTATGCACCTGAATGCTTTCATGGAAGTGAGAATACGTGCATGGCAGACTCGTGTACTGTACACCTCAGCTATAGAATATTAAAGTGAACACGTCATGTGTACAATTTTGTGTGTAAAAGGCATTAGTGCGAGAACCAGGGTGTGAACCACCGCACGCTCGTACACCATTCATTTTCACTCCACTGCCTGGTTGAACATGACCCCATACTTTGGTACTCATGTACATGTAGTTCCAGCATAATTACAGGCGGACCACACATTGCACTCTCAGTGAAATCACACCTTAAAACTTGAACTTTGGAAATCAGAAGGGCCACCCTTTTTGCCGTTAAAAATTGACTTCTTTGTTCGAATACCATATTCACCTGAATGCCCTTTACCATTTGACATTACCAAGTCTTGAAATGTCATACAGTTTTGACAGGGGGAACAGTCCCTTCAAACAGATTGGATATGCTGTGTAGTACCTGTCAATGGGACTTTCCATAAGAAACACCTGTGACATTGAACCACTGACTCTGTAAAATCGAATGCACTGTATTTTAAGAGCAGCATAAAGGTTCCCACCTTCCTACCATGTAATCAAAGTGTACTCTGTATCTGAATATGGCTTTTGCTGCAAGTAATTTGACTGTTCTTTGACACATTATAGATTACATATTTAAGGTAGTCAGATATTCCAATATGCTAGGCACAGTCTGGCTTTTAATCTGCTACCAGTAATTAGTTATCCATTTGTCTTACGTCGAAATCCTTTTTGTTGCAGGGAGAATATGTGACGAGAAAAGGTCCATTGTAACACATTTGTTTGCTGGAACAGCTGCTTACCCAGATCTGTAGTTGAAATACAATGGATGGTCAAGGTGACGACTGGTCTGTTGACGGAACCCTTCCACAGTTCTTAGCAACGGTTCCCAACAGACTTTCTCCAGCACACAACTTTGAACTGCAAGGATCCTCATCACATCTCAGTCATTCCTTAAGGAATGCCCAAGATGCTTTGGAATTCTTCAAACAGCCCCAGCAGAGTTCATTGTCTCCCTTCACCAACCAGTCCCTTGACACAGAGCTCCCTGACTTCTGTAAACTTCCCTGGGACAGCACAGAGCAGTCATCCAGCGATCTTGGGGACAGTGTACGTGTACCTAGTCTTGATGTTGAAAACCTGTGTTATGGCGATAGTGGGGAAGCCAAAGCAGCACAGTTGGAAAACAATGAACAGCTTAAGTCTGTTGGTTTATGTCTGTCAGCTGAGAATGAGTCATCCTGGTCTTGCGATATGTCATCATCTGAATTGCATTCAGCACCACGCAGCAGGTCATATGATAACCCTAGCCACACCGTGGCTGGGCAGGAGGCACACCTTGCTGATGAGCTCCTCTTGCCAACACCAACTGTTGTGGAGAGTGAAAATGAGTGCATTGGTCAAAACTGTGACTTGATACCACCTGTTAATCCTTTCTCACAACTTGCTATGCAAACCAAGAAATCTTCAGATCAGTACTATCAAAGCCTTCCACTTGCTAATGAATATGTTGGTCTGGTTACAGAACCCTGCATTCAGGCAAGGGATGATTCATGTCATGCTGCATCAAACTTTGGAAGTACTCCTCAAAAAAATGAAGAAAACATTCCAATGCAAAGTAGTCTACTTACCACAGTGCATCAGACATCAAGTGATGTTTTACATCCCAATGCACGACACTGCCAGTCGCGTGATTATTTGACTAACGCAGGGCAAACAACCCAGGATTTTATCAGCATTGAATCAAACCTGTCAGATGGAGGTATCAATGAAACAGATGAAGGGATTAAAATCAGTGACGACTTTTCTCTCAATTATGACCCTCCAAGTTTCAGTGATGGAGACAGTGACATCAAGTCACCAGAGTTATCTGCAGATTTGACTAGAATAAGCAACAATGCAGAACAGTGGTGTTTCGATCCTAGTAGCTTGCAGGATGAAGAACATTCATCTGGAATTACAAATGTTCAAGATGGCAGCTCTTTGTCACCAGTGTCCCCTGAGCGCAGTTTCCAGGACATAGTTGGATCTGGAGGACAACAGAAGCAAGAGATTGAGACTCAGAATAAGGACGAAATTTCCCCATGTTCAACTTACCTTGGATGTAGCACAGTTTCTGAGTCTAATTGTTCACTTTTGCAATTGGACACAAACAATAAGGATATTCAAGAAAGCAGACAAAATGGTTCCCCTGTTGATGAGAAGGATCCACAGCTTTCACAGAATACTAGCTCCTCTGCCTTAACAAGATTCGTAAATGTCCCATCAACCAAAGAAGCATCTGAGATATCTAGCCATGAGTTGGAATTGGCATCTGAACTGATAGCAAAGACTTCTACTGGTAGCGTTACAGACACTAGATCGTTTCAGTTGAACTCAAACAAGCTCTCTCCTGGTCAGCACGATGGAAAAATTGGGAGTGATCTCAATAAGTTGCAGCACGATATATCTCCTGTGCCAAATTCAGGCTCATCAGACTCTCTGTCTCCCAGACAGTCTGAGGATGATGCATCCTCATTGAGGGAACGTGATAATTCTTTATCCTCAGAGGAATCCGTCTTGTTAATATCTGACTTTGAGTGCGATGCAGAGATTGCAGACAATAAAACACAAGACACTCCCATCAATGTAAAAATAAAAAACCTTCCTTCGCCAGATGAAGCTTGTCAGAATAAAACCATAGAGAGGACTGAACCAGACTCTACCACTCGCATCTTGGATCACCAAGGTGACACTAAGCCTGAAGCAAGAAGTTCACATGTACAGGTATGCAAAGGCCAGATGGAAGGAAATCTAACTAATGATGATTCGCTCCTCTGCAATTCACCATCTGATGCCAGTTTTGATACTGGTGCAACACTCAGTAGTGACAGATATACTACTGAAAGTCCTGGGCATATGTCTGGGAATGGAGCGTATGAAACTGTTTCTTATGAGGAAAAGAATGGATCACCAGATAAGGACACTTCTGTTGTTGGAGAAGAAACAGAAAGGACTTTATCTGAAGACAAAAATGGTGAACACAAATTGATGGCAACAGCTACTGATTCAGACGTTGAAGAAGCTGAAGCAGAACTAGGAGGAGACTGCTGTCACGTTGACAACTTCCATTTCAATGAGGAAGTTGAAGGGGATAAGCAAGATCCGTGCATTGTCAAGGACGACTCAAAATTTGGAAGAAAGGAAGATTTCGCGAATGGTTCAAATGAAGACAAATTGGGTAAGGAACACAAATTGATCGCAACAGCTACTGATTCAGACATTGAAGAAGCTGAGGCAGAACTAGGAGGAGACTGCTGTCATGTTGACAACTTCCATTTCAATGAGGAAGTTGAGGGGGATGAGCAAGATCAATGCATTGTCAAGGACGACTCAAAACTTAGAAGAAAGGAAGATTTTGTAAATGGTTCAAATGAAGACAAATTGGGTAAGGAGGGATGCTATATAGAAATGCTCAAAGAAGGTGATGCCAAAAGTGATGTATATTGTCTACAAGACACAAATGCATCCAAACAGCGAGAAGCAGGTGCTGAAAAGGAGGTTTCAGAAGTAGCTGCTATCCACAAGCATCCCAAGGGTGACCTAGGAGATGTTTCACTGAGAACCGAAGACCCAGATTTCCCCGGCAATTCTGAGTGTCTACAAGACCCTGATGCATCCAAACAGCGAGATGAAGGCACTGAAAAAGAGGTGTTAGGTATTGGGCCAAGAAGCCAGGATCTTTGTCAGGAAAAGAACACTAGTAGTGAGGGTGTTGGGGAATGGGAATCTCCAGTCGCTGGTATCCATGAGCATCTCAAGGGTGACCAAGGAGATGTGTCAGAGAGAACCGAAGACCCAGATTCCCCCAGCAATTCAGAGTGTCTACAAGACACAGATGCATCTAAGCAGCAAGATAAAGACACTGAAAAAGAGGTGTTAGGAGTTGGGCGGAGAAGCCAGTATCTTTGTCAGGAAAGGAACACCAGTAGTGAGAGTGTTGGGGGAATGGAATTTTCATTAGCTAGTATCCACGAGCATCCCAAGGGTGACCTACATGTAGGAGATGTTTCACTGAGAACCGAAGACCCAGATTCCCCCAGCAATTCAGAGTGTCTACAAGACACAGATGCATCTAAGCAGCAAGATGAAGGCACTGAAAAAGAGGTGTTAGGAGTTTGGTGGAGAAGCCAGGATCTTTGTCAGGAAAGGAACACCAGTAGTGAGAGTGTTGGGGGAATGGAATTTTCATTAGCTAGTATCCACGAGCATCCCAAGGGTGACCAAGGATATGTTTCGCATAGAACTGAAGAACCAGAATCCCCCAGCAATTCAGAAAAAAAATCTCCCAACCAAAATGCCGTCAGGAAAACAACAGATACAGATCCAGTAACATTTGAAGGTTCCTTCTCCAAGCTGGGTAAAATATCAGCTAGTTTACAAGAGAAAGAAAATACAAATGTAAACCCGCAAATGCCAGAAGGAGAAAGTCACAAGAAGAGTGACGATGATATAATCATACTTGATGATGATCCAGAAGTTATATCTATTGGAAGCTCAGATGAAGATGAAGGAACTGAGAGTTCAGCCAGTAAGCAGAAGCAGCTTACAACAGCAACCACCCGTTCACCATCCAAAACCACTGTCAAGACACCACCCCAACAAAATACTCAGTGGGCTTGCCACATATGTGGTGATCACAACAAGACCTTGAACTCTCTAAAGTTGCACGTGAGGCGCGTCCACAACTTGATCATGGTTCACCGGAAAGAGGACATGAAGTGCAAGTTGTGTTCCTTCGTAGGAACTTGGCAAAAAATCAAAGAGCACATCATCAACGATCACGACACACCACTTAAATGGTATATCAAGAATCATGAAACAAGGGAGATAACAAAGCTACCCTTGTCAGCCTCAGTCCCCTCAGAGACTCCTCAATCACAGGGGAATAACACAGCTGGTGCACAAGCCAGTCACCCTGCCAAAGTCATCGCACAGAAGACTGCAGCACCTGCATCAAAGCAGCATTACCTCATTAAGAGGGTTTCCAACATAAGTATGGATGGGCAAGATGAAAGACTTTTATCTGTGAAGACAAAGGATAAACAGATGCTGCCAAGTAGCAAGGTACTTACATTATCACACAACACACCATCACTTTCTGCCCAACCTGTTGGTTTAAGCATCACCCCCAAAGTGAGCTCTGTGATGAATGTTCATACTCCAACTGTAAGTCAAGTTCAAGTATGTCCTGCGACCACAGTCCCAAAGCTCAATACTCAAAACAAAGTTATCATAATACGTCATGCCACCCCAGCAGCAGCGACCAAGACTGTGTCAATTGTAACAACGGGCAAGAATGCTGTTGTAACCCAAGGTGGTGTGCACAACAACTCTCGAAATTTGTACCCGGTCGTCCCCAGTGTAGTACATGATCAGCAGGGCACAAAAACGACTCCAACTTTGCTCAGGTCCAAAGTGGGCAATTCCGTCATAGCGCCACCTGTCACAAAGACTGGGGTGGAGCAAACCATCCAAGTGTCTGCTGTGGTAACACATTACAGCACTAGGCAGATTACTTATAGAGCAAATACTGGAAAACAGTATAAGATCATGACCTCACCAGTATCACCTAAGCAACAAATTATTACCGCATCCGGTTTGCCCAGTTCACTGGTGGTCCCTAGGAAGACTGCTCCTCAAGGGTTGGGAGTGTCCACCGCTTCTTCACAGGTGATGGAGAAAGTCAGAAATGTCTCTGGGACATCTCAGCCAGCCAGTCAGCAAAATCCAAAGACATTTTTTCGCATTTTTTCAAATCAGACTGCTCAAGGCTCCCCAAACAATACCCGGGCTCTCACAGATGCTGCTAAAGCACCAATTAATTTCATCAAGTCGTCTAATGCTAGTGCTCCAGCAAAGACCATGCCACTTTCAAAACAAAGCTTTACATATTCTGTTTCAGCACTTCCTAATACTGTTTCGAATTCAAGTACTCTGTCAAAGCTTGGCTTGAATTCTCTCCCAAGCAGTGGGATCAGGGCAAGTGCAGTTCATGTTCCATCAACCATGACTATTATAAAGACAGTGCCGCATCTTGCCAGTCAGCATGTCTCAGGGGCTTCTGTGAATCAGAGCTCTGCTTCAGTTGCAAATCAAAAAGTTCAAACAGTAACCACCCCATCCTCAGGTCTAGTGACAAGTAGTAAAGAGATGCCAAACATCACTGTGCAGAGACATCTCTTAGATGGTGACAGCATGGCATCTTATGTGATACGAGTGCCAAAGTCACAATCAGAGAGCATGATGCATTCACTGTCAAACAGTGGGAAGAAACACGATGACTCCCTTTACTTGGTTAAAGTGCCTGTAAACCATACCGACTCTCCTAAGAAATTCATGGTTCACCTTCCAGTTGAGAAGGGATCTACCATGAAGCATGCAGTGTGCATTGTGCAACCACCTGCTGGAGAATCTGATAGGGAAGTCTCTCCTGTTTTCAGCAAATCCAGTACTTCCAACTCGCACCAGGGGAAACCAGTTTCTCTCTTGGATGGCTTGAGCACTTCACTGGGCCAAATAAAGTCTATTTCCCCCATGTCTGTTGGACTTATAGCTAAAACAAGTGATGTGTCCAGTGTTGTGCCATTGTGTGTTACAAAGGCTAAGAAAGATCCAACCAAGAAAGCTGAGTGCTTAGCTCATTTGCAAGAGCCAGCTGTTAATATCCAGCTGCTTGAGGACCAGTTTAAGAACACTGAAATGTTTAAAGCTGCAGATCTCATCAAACTGGACAGTCGTGTCCAGTTTGAGTGTGCTCGCTGCAAAGAAGCTTTTCCTCAGCTGATGCTCCTGCAGCTCCATCACATTGACTGCACTGCTCACCCTCCATCTCAAAAGATCTTGCCCATCGTTCACATCCCAACTGCAGTTCTGGCAGCCTTCTTCACACTCTCTGCTTCAGGGTATTCCAGTGCCTGTGTCATCTGCAAAGTGCTGTTGCTCGGGAATGCTCGGCACATGGAGGACCAGCAAGATTTTTGCAGTCACTTGTCTAAGCACACTGAGCCGCGTGTTGCAATAACAAGCCTAGATGACACAAGGAAGCTTGGTATCCTGCAGACAAGGATGACAAGCCAACAAGCCAAAGAGTGGGTAGACTATCTCGTTCCACCTTTCAAGATGTGTAATAAACCCACCTCAGCTTATGATGGCAGCCTGGACGAGTATATCTGCACAGGGGGAATCCTGCATCGTGAATCTGTGAAACGTAGCCAACACAAGAGAAGCCTTTCACCAGAGACGAGAAGAAGAGAAAAACACAAGAAGCACAAGAAGCATAAAAGGCACAGAACTCCCCACATTGAAATCAGTGGCAGAAGCAATGAAGGCACTCGGAACCTGTACCAAAGTTCTCTGAAAACTGCAGAGGGATGTGAGGGGGAATGGATTGAACCAAGCCCAAAAGACTCTGGCAAATTATGGGTGAGGAGGAAGCCTCGTGCTGGTGGACTGAAAGAAAGTATCATGACAAGCCCATCGCACCCTAAGCTCTTGCAGCATGGCATGCGTGTGAATTTGAGCAAGAGTGCCAAAACTAGCCCTTCCAAAACTTCTCAGCGATTTCTGAACGTGAAGATACCGGGCAGGCGCAGCCAGCGAGGAATGGGACTCGACTTTGGCCAGGGACTTGTGATGTTGCCCATGACAACCAGGAAGAGGAAGAAAAAAACTGATGAGGTTGCCAAGGAGCAAATGTCAGGGATCCTGACCAGGAAAGTGAATATGACACCTGCTGCTCCATCTTGTTCCTCAGTTCTTGGAGATAAAGAGGATTTGGTTGGACCTGGAGAGAGCAGCATGAGTAATAAGTCCACTGGAAGACATGCATCTAAAATACCTACAGTCAGTTCAGTTCAAGGTCAGGAAGACAACACTGAAGTGGGCACTGATATACAAACTAAGGATCCCACTGATGACATTGTAGTAATAACATCCAGTGATGATGATGGAGATGATGCTGAAGCCAAAGAAGATGACACACAAGATGGCGACAAATCCATGCATACAAATATGATAGAGGGAAACAGTGAGGAACCAAACATCGGTAAAGTAGATGCTGATGAGGAAAGCGATTCCAAAGATGCTGCCTCGGATAATCCATATGATGACAGTGATTCGAGTTTGAATGAGAATGCAAATGGACAGCAGAGTGACAGTGATGAGGACATTGATGATGATAAGGATGGAATGAACCAGAGAGACATTCCTCTGACCATGATGGCATTGCACTACCGACGGCTAAATGAAGAGATGGCCAAAACCAGCCAGGAGAAACAAGATTCTGAGGAAGTAACTTGTGAATCCCCTTCTCTCACTCTCTCTGTGGATAAGCTTGAAGAAGACACAGAGACACAGACGGCAGGTGATCAAGATGCAGAAAAGACAACAGAAAGTCACCCAACATGGGAAATTGTTGGAGCTGTTACCTCAGATAAGCTTCAAGACAGTTGCAGCTCACATAGACTCAAAGTGATATCTCCAGTTCCAACAAGTGATTGCAGTAATTTATCTGGAGAATTTTCATCCCAGAGTAGCGGCTCTCTGCATTCTAATATCAATGTTGAAAGTAGTACCGTGGAATCAGAATCGCTTGAATCCGAAGAGTTTCATCCCAATAAGCAGGTTAAGCAAAGCACTTCACAGCACTCTAATTCTTCAAGTACATGTACTCAGTTTGGAGAGAGTAGCGGGTCTAAACCAGAGGAGACACTGCCATCAGAACCTTGCAAAGATACTGGTTCTGAATTGCTAAGAGAAGAAAAGGACATGATTTCACCACAGAGGGGCATTGTTGACAATGATCTCAAAGACAATACCAGTGGAGCTAGTGATCAAGAAAATTGCATTTCTGATATTGAAGATCATGACCCTTCATCAGAAATTGAGAGCTTGGAAGATGCCATATCAAATGTCATGGCAACAGACAATTTGCAGGATTTGAAATCAGATACCCTAGACAAAGTCTCAGTGGAAGGTAGCTTTGGCAGCGAGAATAGAGATCAAGATAATGTCATCTTTGTTGCTGCAGATATCTCAGACACCAAAAACTCAGACAATAGTCATTCTATGGAGACCCTGTCCGAGATGGGAAATGTGAAGGAGCAATCAGTTGAGGATTTGGAAGGTAACAGTAGAGATGATGACATTAAGGACCATACCACTGAGGACAGTAAATCAGGCTCCAATATCAGTGAAATTAAAATTCCCAGTTGTACATACAGCAACATCCAGGATAGTTGGATAAATAATGCCACTGATGGTGTGACTCAAATAAATAATGATTTTAGAGCAACCCTCTTGGAAAATGACAGCTCTGGAGAAAGCAAATCTGCCGATGAAACCTGGAAGAGAAAAAGTCAGAAGGACACAGTTTCAGAGGATCACAACCTCAAAGACAGCATCCAAAAAGACAAGAGTCTAAAAGAAAATGACTGGAAGACTGACATTTGGAAAGAAGATATACCTATGACTAGCAACCTGAAAGAGCATTCTCAAGCCGATGTCATACAAAATGTAGGAACCAAGGGAGATGCTACACTTAATGATATGTCTGGAAAAGGAAGTGTGTATGCAGATGGTATTTCTTGGGACAGCTGTGTCAGCAATGCTGAAAGCAGTGTTCAGCGAGACAGGTTTTTCCGGGAGAAGAACCTCACCAAGAACAATGTTTCTGATGGTAGCCAAACCGACGAGGCAGTTGAACAAGTCACATGTACTACTGAGGAAGAGGAAAGTGACATAACTAATGAGACAAAGGAACGGGACAGGTTTTTCAGTGAGAGAAGTTTAGACATAGAGGACAGTTTTGGAAGCCAGTGTAATGATAGATTATTTGTAGGGGGTGTTTGTGATGATATATCCTGTATGAGTTATCCTAAGGAGGATATACGCCAGGATCAGCAAAGTGATGGGTTATGTGGTCAGGACTCCGGTGCTGGTGAAACACAGGAAGAGGGACAGGAGACGAGACTTTACCAAGATGATGATCAGGATTCAGATGATGATGTCATCTGCTTAATTGATGATTCAGATGAGGAGTTCCAGTCTTTACTTTCAACAGGTTTGTTTTTACACTTCTTTTATTCAAACCTTAGATTCATAATTTGTTCAGGTCATATTGAGTACAGAAATGGTAAAGTAATGATCATCTCAACCTGGTTTCTTTTTTACAAACAAGTACAAAGGCACATGTAGTTGTGAAATCTATCAAGGTTTTAGTTTTTCCTTGACAGGTCTTTTTTTACTTAAAAGTTTTGTGGATGTAAGTCAGAGCTCAAGGGAGAAGGTCATACTGAGACTTGACTCAGAAATATAACTTATTTTATTTGCATCTTGATGCCCATTTCTTTTGGTCATATGTTAGCAGCATGTTAGATTGGGCAGATCCAAAAAGCTCACTCAAAATGCCCTGGATGTTAAGGGTGATTGTAAATACGTTGACTGCAAGAATACCAGTTGCTTAGCCCATTATATCAAGTATAGTATACGACTTGGAATAACATTTGCCTGTGGAAGTACGACTGCTGGCTACAACAGTTTATTACAAACCCAAGTTAATGCTTACCACAACAAAGCAAAATTCAGATACAACCTAATATTCAGTTGGCATCAAAGTTTGTTTCTTCATTGCTGTTTCCCAAAGATCAATTCCCTGGCTTGGAATGGGCCCCATCTACCGTGCACACTGTCAAGGAACAGACTGTTTGGAGTACTTCAGCAGATCATCCGTCTCAGACTCTGGGCAAACCAGTCGTAAAACAGGTGAGAGGACACAGTTTAAAAAGGAAATCATCCCACGATTACGAAGATGATGAATTGGACAGCGACAGTGATTCTCCTTGGAAACATGCCAGGGGACGGGAAGCGTGTGATGAAGCAACTCCCTCAGACTCGTGGCGCCTATTGGAAGTGTCAGAGGAGAGCGAGGAGCATTCAGCCGCCGAGATGGTTTGGAAACAAGACAGAGGCACCAGTGTCTTCACACATGAGGATGTCGGACAGTTACGAGCTGGTGGACTTTGAGTGAATCCTTTAGTCTGCTGATTGCACACCTGGGGGTATCTTGTGCTACATTGATGTGCACACTCAAGCATATATTTGATCTAGTGTGCTACAGTGTTTATACAACTAAAAGGGTTGTAGGGGCGGTAGGAGTTTGGAGGCACCTAGACCAAATTCAGCATGGTTAACTAAATAATGTTGGTTATTCTCAAACTATCGCACCCATCTGTGGAGGATTTTTCATACACAAAAGTAATGAGATAATAACTAAAAAATATAACACATAATTTACTCAATTGTGCTGTGCACTGTCCTGACAGCAAAAAGTTAAACTTTTCATTCTATTGTTTCTAAGCTCATTTGTGGCTAAAAAAGGACAGTTTGACAGGTTTTTAATCATAAAACTGTTGGCGTAAGTATTTTGCATTAGAAGGGCATAAGTCTGTGTCGGAAACAGTAAGTGTAGTCACATCTGTAAATGTACATGTTGGCAGCCCTAGTGAAAAAAAAATGGCTTCACTGACAGATTCCTTGTGTATCTATTTAAATGGTAGTTTCTCACTCACACATTAACATGCACGTTACATCTAATTTGTACTCTGCACTTCGGGTTTTGGGGTATTTATCTTATCATTGCAGGAAAGACTCCTGGGTCATTCAACGCGAAAGGGGTGATGGAGATAACCCTTGGGTAAATTTATGCACATGATATTGAATGGCTTGTCAATTCAAAGCAAAACTTCTGTCCATTGTTTCTTAATGTAATGCCTTAGGATGCTCCCCTAATTTCTTAAGTACATGTACATAAGTTTAGTACACAGTGTCCTTAACCCCTTCTCGACGGGAATTTCATTCCGAAAGCCGACTCCAAGAATTCCAGCCTCGCTTGGCCACGAAGGCCACCTGCCAAACCGAAAATTCTCGGTTTGTGGCCCGGCGTGCTCTGCACGCTTTGAATTACACAGTGAAAAGGCTGATTGTTCGGTGGCATGCGGCTCTACTCAAGCTTCTACATTCCTGTTGCCTCTTTTCAAAGTGGGGACTATTGTGAAGCTGGCGATTATGATGCAAATTCGGTCTTTTCATTTCTGGGCTACACACAAAGGTCAATTACCATATTTACAAGAGCCAGGGTCTGCCTTCTTTCACCGTGTTGGCTCGAGTGTGGGTTGAGAATAATAGCTGAAAAGCGGGCTGAGGGTCTCAATTTTTACGGCGTGTCTTAACGTGTCCCGGCGCATAGGGGTTAGGGTACCACAAATGTCCGGGAGGAAAATCTTTTACTTCGTCACACCATCAGTGTCTGCTCTCAAATCTTAAGTTGAGCACTGGTCACACCCTGTAATATGGATAGGCCCATATGATGAACTTTTGCCCTTGATATGCTTGAGAGACAAAAGACATAGTGAGATAGAGGACATTGTGCGTGTACCTTTCACCCTTACATGTATTCAATTTCTTTGTAAAAAAAAAATGAGATGACTTTTTCATGTACACACCACTTTATCTGAACTACATACTTTACCTGAACTGACAGATGTTACCCAAAATAGTTGTATGAAACACTCGTTGGGCTCACTACAAGAATATAAATCATTTCTTTGTAGTGGAAGGGAACGTACTTTTCATTCCATATGGTATCTTTTCCTCAATGCAGAAAGGCCTATCAAATGTACGGAGTATTTAATATCAAGTCACACTATAAAAAATTTCAGAGCTCATCTTTTCAGATTTTCTTTTTTCTGAATAGATGATACCACTGCTCTAGGAATTTCAGTAGCAAGCCAGTATCCCCACATTTGTCAGTACTCATCACGAAAGGTCAAATACTGAGTTCAGATATGCATCAGTTGGCACAGGTTTAGTATCTCCAGGATTTCAGTTTGTCTTGATAAACTGAGAGATAGGTTTGAGGGTACACCATGGAATCAATCTCTTTTGGGAAGAGGTGTGGTTCTTAAAAGAACCGGTGAGTGTTAACTTGACATTTCAGCCAGTGTGCTCTTGCCGTCCTCAGGAGAGTGTGAACGTCGAAATGTTAACTCGAAACATTGAGTTAACACTCACCAGTTCTTTTAAGAACCACACCTCGCCCAAAAGAGATTGATTCCATGGTGTACCCACAAACCTATCTCTCATGTCTCTTCCACCATGCAAAGATTCAAATCTTACTTAGTTGTGATAAATTGTTTCCAGGTTGACTTAAGAACAAACAAAGGAACTAGTTGTAAATCTGAACCCATGACCTGGCAGGATTTCTGAGGTGACAAGTTCAAGCCCTGGTTATCTGGTCAGCTATTAAAGGCTGTGGACATGTCTAAATCTTCAGGCTGTGGCTCATAGGAACACATAGATCTATTTAAAAGGTTGCAGCCACTAACAACTGGCTTCCATAGTACAGGCGCCTGCATGGACAGCCACAGGCAAAGCATTCATACCCAGCCTGGAGAGTGAACATAGTCAGATTTCTATGACTGTCCAAGGAATCACACTACTTAGGCCCATACATGTGTGTCTTTACATTCCCGTAGTCTACTTTTTATTTGCGTATATGTGCAAATGTATCTTGTAAATGGGCCTCTTTTCCTCAAATTTGCCTTGTAATCCCCCATGCATTAGAGTGATGAAGCCACATTGGGTAAGACAGTCATTTATCAGCGTGTGTGAGACTGTCATGGGCCTGAACGAACAAGGCTGTAATACATTCCATGGATCCTGCTGCAATATGTATATAGTTCTTTGGTGTACAGGTAAATGAAGCTGTTTCATGTTTAACACTCTTGGGTACACAGTCCGCCAATGAGTTACATTATTCCGTTAAGAACATTATTGTGTAAGTGTAACATACATATACCATTATCATGGACAAACAACAGAAATGCATGTATATATTCAACATTTAATCTTGCAAAGCCTGAAGGGCTGGCAGTCAGTCGAATAGCACCTACATGTAAAACGATCAAGTATCCTGTGTTGTGTCCAGTGTTCAGCTCTTTCGGTTCTGTACTGATGAAGGAATCACTGATGCTTGGTCGGGCTTGGGAAGCCTGTTTATCTTTTTTTTTTTCAAAGTATATCAAGGGTGCCCACAGTCACAAATAGAGAGCAGTGTACACATACATGTATGCATATATCCATTGTTAAATGATTTTTTTGTAGATGACAAATTAACAAGAGTGAGCTTTGAAGCTTTTGATTGCAAAGGTTCTCTAGAAAGTACAGCAAGTTGCAGAACAGGAGGTTCTTTTCAGAACCACACAGTCAGAAAGAGATACCTGTGCATGGTGCCACAGCAAACCTCTATAACTTCAATTAATACAAATGTTAAATAATCATCATCATCACCCTCTCAGGCTCAGCAGTGTGTGTTCAAGAGAGATTCATTCAACAGGGGTGTGAGAATTCAGCTTTTTGGCTGATGTCAGCTTTTGTAGAAGTTGACCCTGAATTTCAGCTTTTTTGTACACCTGGCCAGTACAAAAATGGTGGAACTTTTTATATTTCAGCATTTTGCTAGCCGTTTTCAGCTTTGATTTTAATTGGCCACTCATTCCCCTTGTTCAACATATAATTTGAAATTTTGACATAAATTTTCGCTGTTTTAGTTTAACACTCTCTTCATAGTGCACATGAGTTTTTTCCGCACTAGGGCAACACTAAATTCAGGATGCTTGAAGGATGGAAATGAAAGTTTAAAGTTTGAAACCAAAGGTCACTGGCTCGATGAAATCCCAAATTTGTACACAAATAGTTATACGTGTACACATACACTTGGTGCTGGGTAGAAAACAGACTGCTCAGAAAATTGATGAGTTCTGTAAAAGTTCATAGCAGACCAGTCACAGGCCATTTTGGCCGGTAACCCATTTTTGCTGAGCAAATGCAAATACATTTTGGGCTTTAGCAGATCCATGAGAGAAGAGTCGCATCAAGGGACCCCCGTGTCATGCCTGTAGTTCATGGAGGTCAATCCACAAGGTGTGAATAGCGCCCTCGTGTTTTAAGAGCAAATAATGCTTTCAGTCTCCCAGAAAGCTTTACAGGCACAAACCGGGGGGGCCTTCCCCTCCTCCGTGGCATTTTCCTCGCAACTTCTAAAGGTTGCAAGCACCCCTTAGAAGTATGGGTCGTATTTCCCTGTTCGGGTAGAGACAAAACTGAGTTTAAATCTCAACAGTGACAACGTACACAGTTACCCTTACTCCCACCTGCACGCGCAACAACAAAAATTCAAACCGTCCAGCCACCCGTCATGTACAGTTGCAGTGTTGTTATCACGTAAATCAGGAATTTAAGTCTTACCAACTTTGAGCAAGGTTTTAAGCCTTTTCCCCTTCGGATTACTGGTTTGTGTTATTGGTACCATACATGTACATGTATGCCTGTGTACATAAACCTTTCCTGTATGCCTGAAATGCAAAAGCCCTCTTCATCTTCGGTCAGCTAAATTCCATATAATTGTCTCATCCCAAGGAAGCTCCAATACCCAAGCTGGTTCTCTCTGAAATCCCCCGTGTCCTGTTCAGATTGAATATGGAAAGCTCCCTTACAGGATCTGCAGAGTCACCTGGAGTGTCAGTTGTCACAATTACTGCTGCCATACCTTCAAATTGTTGGTATCAGGTGTTTGTACTCGTGAGGATTGTGTGGTCACAACTAGACAAAGTGTGTACATGCATGTGTAACTTTAATAATGCTGGTGATGAGAGCTTGGTGCCAGTTGGGTAATGACAGAATATGATGATCACTGGTTAGTGCTATTGGCATAGCAACCTTTGAGTTCAGATGTGTGAACAAAACAAACTGAAAGCTATGGCCCGTGAACATGAATCACTTGACTGACGTTACAATGAATACATAGACCAAGTATTTTAATTGGGAAGACATGATGAAGGTGCACCGCTTTTGATATGTACATGTATTATACAATGTAAATTGAGAGCTTGAAGAGATGTTTATGGCCATATGTACATGTATGTAGTGATAGCAATTCTGGTGTATACTCAGTTGTATATTTGTGGGCAAGTTCAAGCGACGACTGAAGTTAACCGTATTTCAACCAAAGCCGCAACAAAAATGGATGGTTTGGACCATGTAGTCGACCATTTTGGCACCAGGCCCTGCAGCATGGTTGCATTGCTAGTTGTCAGAATTCTCAATTTTCAGTACAGAGGGAACCATTCAGATGAAAATGGCTACAAGAATTTTGTGCAACTATATTCATTTGAATGACATCATGCATTAGCGTCGCAAGAGTTTCCGCCAATGGCAAAATATAACGATGAGGTTATGCAAAAAAAAAAAAATTTGACGAGAGTTATTCAAGTGTGACTGTACTGTGCGTGTCTGTAGATAAAAGCAATTAAATGACGGTCTTCACAGACATCGTACAAGTAAAGAGAGGAACAGTGCATTTCAAAATCTAAGATCACTTTTGCATCAGTGAACTGCAAAATTTAATAATAATTAAATTAATAATCAAAGGAAAGTATTCTTTATTATATATCCAAATGTAATGTTGTATGTTTAACATATGACTTTGTTACAGTGGTTTTTTTTTTTTTGGTCAATTTTATTTGGGGAGTGTGCGAAATTGCTTTTGTTGGTGTGTTGAATGCTGGCATGAACATGTCACAAAGCTTCATGAAATTTTACCTAAGTAAATTCAGGATTGTGTCGTGTTACTGTAAATTTAAGGGAAAAAAGTACTCATGTGCTGTCTGGCAAATTTAAACAGTAGTTTCATGGAATCCTTGTTATATATGTGTCTGCAATTTTGTTTCCTGTTAGATTTTCATTTTTTTTTTCTGTTTTTAATTTTTTTTTCTTCCCTTTTGCGACGAGTCATTATACAAATCTGAGGTGCAGTTACTTTCATGTCCCTGTCATATCCGACATTTATGTTTGTAAGTTCAGAACACATTCTTTGATTCTGAGTGTGATTAAGTAATACAAACTACTTGTCAAACAAATTAAAATAGTTGAAGGCAATTTTCATGATATTGCATGTCAAATTACACATTTTGGGAGTTACAAGGATATAAAAATGTCTCGTTTTTGGACCCCAAATTAATAAAATTGCCCACAACCTAAATGTCAAATAAAAGCATTAATTAAATTCAAACTTTATTACACACACAAGTCACTCAGTGAATAGTCCAAAAATACTTAGGGTATTTAATTAGAATGAGCCCCAAGGGCACAAGAAATGAAAGTCAATTAATTTTATCCATAGATCCACATCCAGAATCGTATGAAAGTAATGGGTCGACTGTCTGGAGTTTGTTTGACTAACCTCTCACTATTTACCGGTACAATATCTAAGCTTACATTTGAGGGACCATTGACTTGGTGTCAGATTTGGCACCAGTTTTCCCAGTTTTTTTCCTGTACAAATTATGAACAAACATTAAATATGAATTACGTATTCACACAATACACAAAATAAGCCATCAGAGAATGGGTTAATTTCAACACTTGATATATGTTTTAAAAACACTGATGTGACTTTCCCTCATGTTTATTTCTAGTGAAAATAATAGCATAACCTGACTGTAAATGTGACCTTTTAAGAGCTATTGTTTTGCCAGTTTATCTTGAAGCTTTTAAATATCTCATTACACAATAGCTTAATACTTATCTAATCTCAGATTTGTTACATGTTTCAGGGAGCCAGTTGGCTTGCAATGTACAGTCAGTGAAGTTGCAGGAAATAGCTGAAAATATCCAGTTCATACATGTGTTTGATTAAACTTAAAGGAAAAAGGCATTTACATCAGAAATAGAAATGGACATCACACAGGGTGTGCGTATTACAAAGCTGGTGTGTTAATTGGTGGCCTACAGAACCAGCAGACTTTGCCCATAATAAATTAGTAACACCACATCAAGCCTCTGTAAGTGCAGTTTTCCTGTTCAAAGTCAGAAGGGAGTCAGAGGGAATTGTTTTGCTGAATGCCAAGTATCTCGCAAGATAACACAAGATAACATAATCATCTTAAGGTCTGCTTTTACTACTCCACTGATGACTGACAGCTTGTCAACTGGATTGGAAATGTTTATGGCTCAACCACGTTCAGTTGGAACAGCTAAATGATGGGTTTTTTTAATTGAATAAAATTCTTCATTTGGTAGTTCTAAAATTACATGATACATACATGAGCACATTCATTCAAAATATAAAAGACTAAATGCAAAAGCATCAATTATGTACACAACTGGAATTGGAGTTTCTGCATGGGCAAAAAATATTGTAATATTTCATTTGCTGATCAGTAGCTAATTTAATACATGCTGTATGCACAGTGCTTGATAAATGACCACAGCGAAGGGCAAATACTCAATTACTGTAAGTGCATAGGCAAACTGGCATCATGGCCAAGGCGTTTCTTTTCAAGGAAAGGTTTATTTCACACTCTGTTCCAGAACATCTTGTCCGTTATCCAGCGGAGTGGCTGGGGGGGTTGCTCCCCATGAAATATCAACATCTATCCCCCCCCGCTCAGAATCCTGCCTATGCTGCTGCTGTGGTCCAACTACTTCTGAGGCCAATTTCTGTTGATGCATCTAGCAGTTACAACAGGATGCCAGGCTTTTGCAGTGGGGGGGAACCCAAATGATGGTGAACCCAAAAATACAAACAGGCCATGGTTTACGAATGTAAGTGATAATCTCCTTTTTCAGGTTATTAAATTACCAGATGAAAATACAAGAAGTATCTAGGGAAAGGGAAATGGTTTCTCTAAGAAAACAGGAAAATGGGGGAAGCCCAGCCCACATGTGCCCCCTTTAGATCCACCACTGAAATGTGTTACAAAAATTCATGACGCACAGTTCCAGTACTGTACATGCTATGGATAAAATGCATACACTCCTTGGGCAACTGAGGAGCGTTCAGGAGGAAAAAAAACATCTACATGTAAATGAGGACACTTTTTTTCACTGTTGGCGCTGCTTATTACGTGCACCCGAGTCCAGCCCTTCAAGAGGATAGCACTGTGGCATACAAATGTGGAACTTGTAAGAGATGCTCACTAGGAAAGGGCACACTGGAGAAATTGCAGGCTCAGCATTGCATGCCAACCAGAGACCTCTTACTTGGTCATATTTCTGTATTCACTTTCACTGGCGGAGGTCATGCAACTGTGCACCTGTTCATGGTTGTTGCATGTACCATCCTGTCTGTAATGCTCAACTACAGTAAAGTTACAGCATCCCACTTCAGGTCAGAATTGGCACTCTCAGTGCATCTCATTGGATATATTGATACCTGTCCGACTAAAGAACTCTGTCTGGACATGAGCGATACGGACGTGGTCCCTGCCAGGAGGATCGTTGAAGTTCTGCAGTCGATGCCCATATTCAGAGGAAGACAGCGACGGAATAATCTTTTCTTTTTCCTTCAAAGGGAGCAAATCAAAACAGAACATGGTTTTTAAAATGTTGTGTCAAGGGTTATTTTCAGTTGTATGCACTCGTTTAAAAAAGCAGGGTGGCCACAGTAACCTTCAAAATCTGAGAGACGCCCAGATGGCACCCTGGCTAAACTTATGAATCAAGTGTTTCACTGGACGATCCTGATAGCCCCCTTTAATGGCTGAGGGCACTGCGTCAGGTTTTCTGTCTCGCAATTTTTACAGAACTGTAGCTTTGTACAACAGTCATTGCGATGCTTACCGCTACTGGCACTAGCCACAGCAAATGACCAGAGATAGTGTTCCCCTTGGTCAGCAGAATAATCAATAAGAAGCCTTGATCTTGTTATTTTCATTTTAGTTGATGGCAACTGAGCTGCACTTAACCAAAATAAAATTACAATAACAGCTACTGAACAAAGACAGTTCTTTGAGAATATCATTATCAACAATTGACGGGGGAAGTCATATCACACCTTAAGTGATTGCCTCCTGGAATTATTTATGATTCACCTGGAGTAGTGTCAGTCTGGCCATGGAGCAGCTGTGTGTCTGGCCAAGGAGATGCTAGTATGTTCAACACTTGTACACTAGGAAAATGCTACGTGTATGTATTTAGTTTTGTGTCAAACTGAACAGAGTTAATGGAATACTGTAGACAGAAGCAGAAACTGTCATAAGTTTGTTTTATGAGACATTGACCCTTTGCAACAGCACTGAGTATAGCAAGATGATAATTGCATAAAGCCATGCTTTTAAGTTAATGCATAGGACACTAGCACAGAGATTCAGTGAATACAACATTTCATTGCTTCATTCCATTAAACACGACTCGGTCTCTTACAGTTGTCATGATACAATTATGAACTTTTTTCCCTTCCTTGTTCCTTTTATTTTCAAGAACTATGCACTGTGATCAAAGCACTTCTGTGAGAGAATTAAAGAGCTTGAATCTAATACTCTTTGCACCAGTCTTTGTTATCTCCTTGTTGATCCAGGAATACTGAAATGAGTAATAATTTCTACAAATGCTACAAAGCACCCTGTTGTGTCACTCTCAAGAAAAAATGACATGCAGTACACGTCACAGTCATGTTTTGCTACACAACCTAGATATAAGGCACTGTCCATAGGATACAACACTTTCCCACTACGGTAAGTATACATTGTCACATCCAGGGGGGTCACACCCGGTACATGTCTCTATCCCCCCCTCCCCTTGTGGAGGATGCCGTGTCATTTCCCTGGTTTTTCCTTTGCTGCTAACCAGTAAACCCCTATTCAGTTAATTTAGACGAAACTTGCCACTAATATATGGTCTGATCATACATGTTAAGGTTCAACTCCATTTGGAAGGACCCCACCCCTTGGATAGCTAGCTCTCAACCCCTCCCATTTTTGATCAATGCTGGATCCATAACTGGTATAATAGGCAATGATGGGGAGTCTGGTGGGTGTAGTGGCATTTTCCTCGTCTTTCACCTCTTTGACCCAGGTCCAAGTCTCATCTACATGTACATGTAGGTCAGCATGTGGATTGGGTTTTCAGTCCCTGCGCCTGACTCCGTGGGTTTTACCTGGAAGATTCATCCAGGGTTTTCCTCCCACCTCTAAAACTGAACATTGTCTTATCACTTCATCCTGTCATCAGCACTAATAGGCTGTTGGACGAAAAGATATAAATAGATAAATAAAGAAATAAATTACAGAGGAGAACTTAAAACAAAGCACTAGCCACTTAAGACAGGGGAAATTTATTATGTTTTTCCTCTCTGTGCACTCGCTTAAAATAGGGCAGCCACAGAGTAATCAAATACTGGTATTTCCGAATTCCTTGTGGCCCCCTTTAATGGCGGAGGGCATTGCATTGGGTTTTGTGTGGAGAAACTGTCAAAGAACATTTACTTTATACAAAGTCATTGCAATTGGCAAGAGCCACAGCAAATGACTTGTGATAATGCGTTAAGAGTCATAACCGTGATCTCTGCATTTTCAGCTAAAAACTGAGCTAACAAAGGAACACCCAGCTCTTTTATGTACATGTACACGTTTCATTACCCTTGACTGATGGGGGAATCGTATCACACCTAAATTTATATACATCTATGAATTATTTAGGATTCAACTAGAATCATTAATCTTATCTGTCTGACAAAGAGGCTGCCACTGAGCTCAACACGACCCATAAAGGATTTCACATTGGAAAAAAAAAAAATTTTTTAGTTTCATTTTGAATTGAAGAGAATGAATAATTTGTGATGCTGTGCAGACAGGAGCATACATTAAGCATTGAGAAACTGCCTAGCTGACAAATTGGTATCCTGAAATTCTACCAAATAAAATGAGTTTCTTCAGCCCTCGTGCCTTAGTATAGCCAGATGTTTACAATTGGATAAAGCTTCGCATTAATTCAGTAATGCATGGGATGTTGATCTAAAAAGAGATTCAGGGAATGCAATGTTTCACTGTTTCATTCACACAGTACAACTTGGTATACATGGTACATGTATTACGCTGAGCTGAATAGTAACACATTTTCAATCTGTTTCTGTCATTTTCTCTTTTTTTAACTTTCAAGAATCATGTACATTGTACTGTACAAGCTGTGATTAAGTGTTTCTGCCAAAGAATGTAAAGAACACCAATTTCTACCGGTACTTTCAAGTTTCTGCATTAGTCTTACAACCCTCTGCAGTCCTGGAATGATGAAACGTGTACAAATTTCTACTAAGTTTCTGTATGTATGGAGAAAGATTGATCCAGTGTATAAATGTACAGCCACAGTTTGCTACACACCACAGAAAATATGGCATTATGTTTCCCCTTGTACATGTACATGTACCAGTGGCGTAGCCAAAGAGGGGGCCCTGGAGGGGCACATGCCCCCCTACAAATTCTCAGTGTCCCCCCCCCCCGAAGAAACAAAAACCGGATGAATGGATATTGAACACGGCTAACAAAAGCTTACCCCAAAAACCACATCACTGAAAGCTGGTGCCCCCCCTAAGATGCTGGAACCTCCTTTGTACCCCCTCCCCCCAATAAAATCCTAGCTACGTCATTG